ATAAAAATGATGTAGGAATCAGACAGGAAGATGTAGCTCCTCAGAGCCCTTCACTGCAGGTTGCCTGGAGACGGACCCTGATCCTAGACGGTGCCCCTGTATAGATGGTGCTCTGGGCTCTGTGCGTATTAAAGGAACAGCTGAGAGGAAGCAAATGCGTAACATGATACCTGGTGCTCAGCTGCGCAGACAGAGCCTGGGGGGTCTTCACTGGGTCCCAAAATTTCAATAAATGCTTGGTAAGATATAGTTATATGGTGCATCTCATTTGAATCATTTATAATCTGGAGCAATTTTAGTAACCAACTATGTCTTAGAATTTAATAAATCAGCTGTGCTGGGCCAGTCAAAGAATTATAGGCACTGAATATAAAATTCTGCAGATCGTGTATGTCTTGTAGGGCATGAATGAGAGTTTAAAATTAATATATTTTAGTGTCTGAATGACAATGGACAGTATTGTTTTGATCATGTCATATAGCCTATATTTCTGTTTCACAGCAGCTACTAGAAGCTCGGGAATTATTAAAATGATGCAGCGCTTTTCCTTCAGTAAGACATGAACTCATAACCTGAGGCTTGATGACTAAAATCCCAGGAGGGACTTTTCTGTAATGCCTTTCAGCATTCTACTCAAACTGAATTACTTTAACAAAATATTACCTGTTTAAATTGGTAAATATGTCAAATCACTTTGATTAAAACCCATCAGCAGCATGATTAAATTAGTAGATTATGTAATAGTCAAGAAGCTTCAGCACAAGTAAATATCCAGGAAGTCTTCATGCTCATGTCAGATATCGAAACACAGAATAGAATAGTGATATTTCATTCATGCACGTGGGCATATTCTGTTCTCACCTATCCCAGCATGCACTACATGAGACACATACAAGGGAGAGCAAGCACAACAAAAGGTGTTACAAATTGAGCCGTGACCTTATTCTCTAGCCCAACTCTTGAAGAACTGGCCACTTATATTATGCCCCAGTTCAAAGGGACTCAGACATTGCTTCTGCCCCCGGCTGGCCTGAATCCCGGAGATATTGAATGCTACATTGGTGCCAGTTGGTGGAAACTGAGGTCATGTGATCCTTCTATATTTCTGTCAGGCACCCCAGAGATTCCCTCTCATTAGTATGTGTAAGAGCCATTGTTTTTAGAAGGCTGGGATTTTGTGGTGTATGAGATTTTTAATTTGTGTGTGTGTGTGTGTGTGTGGGGGGGGGTTATATTAGCCAACTTAGGTTATTATAGGGCAAAGTTTATTTTTGAATCAGGGTTTATGCCCTTTGTTGTCCTAGTAAATCCACTTATCAGGAGCCTGTCAATTGCCATGTGAGAGAGGAGTCACGCTGATATTCTAGCGTAGCTTGCAGTGGAGGGCAAGGCCAGTGAAGGAGAGCAATGCAGTGAGTGGGCAGGCGGGAGCCCCCCTGAGCGTTTGTGAGCCCCCTTGGCTTAGCAGCTGGGAGCCTGATAGGATGGTGCAGACCTGCACCATAACGGGACACACACACGCACACACACCCACTCGCACATGTCGGGTATACCTATCCTTATGGGGACCGCTCATTTACTTCTATGGGAAAAATGCTAACACTAACTATGACAACCTTAACCCCCACCCTGCCCTAACCATAACCATAAGTAACCAAGCAAAATACAAGAGTTTTTGCATTTTTAGTTTTTTCATAGTAGTCGCCGATTTTTATAAAATAGAGTTTTCCCTTATGGGGACCAGGGACTTTGTGTCCCCATAAGGATAGGTATACCCACACGCACACACACACACACACACACACACACACACACACACAGGTTTTGTGTGAAGCTTCCGGACTGAGATGTGACTCAGGTGATAGGACAGGGAGACAGTGGAAATAACATGTAACAATCTGCATCTCATCTTTCTGATATTCATATTTTCACGCTGCATAAAAACCCACCACTGCCGTGTCCATGGAGATACAGCAAATATCTATTGTTGTGTGAAGTTGCTGAGCATAGTCAATGCAGTATGGTCAGATAATCAGCCTTCACAGAATGATTATCCTTTTCACTTTATTGAAGGCCGTGACTGCAATTTTCAGTACGATGTCGTGACTAACTAGCGATTCATCTTGGCTCAGTTTGATGAAAACCCTGACTGCACGTGTATCCAGGCAAACAATTTAGCAACCTTTAAATATTTGATAGCATCACTCATTTTGGTTGTTTTTGATTATGCAATTATAATTTGTATGTATAAAGAGGTGTAGGCGCTCACATGTAGGAGTGTGATTGAGTATGTGTGGGGTTTATTCAATGTGAAACTGTTAGTTATTTCACTGCAAGTTCTTTGCATATAATAGATGCATCTAACTTCAACACTGTCAGAGAAAAAGAATACCAATTTGTACCTTTGCAGGTCACTGGGGCTGTACCCTCAAGGGCCTGCCAATTGTACCCTTAGCTGTAGGTACTTGTACCTTTTAAGATACAGATCTTGGACTATAAGGAACATTAACGTTGTTTGTACCTTGGGGTTGTTCCTCAGAGTCCATTTGTGTACCTTAAATTCAGAGAGGGGGAACTGATGGAAAGACTTGGACTCGACTTGGACTTGACTTGGACTTAACTTGGACTTGCGGGCAAATGACTCAAGACTTGGACCTCAATAGGGCCCTTTCACTGACTTTGGATACCATAACGTTAATTATTAATAATGTAATAATAATAATAATAATAATATAATTTCAGTGTATATTAATTCTCTGCTGTCTGCATTTTCAGTTGGCTGAATCCAAGGTCTCCGTTGTGTGAGGACAACGGTGATGGACACTCTCTTTGCAACCTCTCTTATACTCTTGACATACTGTGGCAGGTTTTTGCTGTGGCAAGTTTTAATCACTAAAGGTAAAAAACATGACATGGATTGGGATTCAAGTTTCATGACTCACAACTCAAAATTTGATTACTCGTGACTTGATAGCAAAAATGATGGAAAGACTTGGACTCAACTTAGACTTGAGGACAAATTACACCAGATTTGACTCAGACTGCAGATTTGACTCGAGACTTGACTTGGACTCACCAAGGAATGACTTGCTCAAATCCCTGCTTGAATTAGATTAAAAGGTAGATTTACCTACAGCAAGGGTACAATTGGAAGATCCTCAAGGGTACATACCCAGTGACAAGCAAAGGCACAAATTGGTACTCTATTTTTTGACAGTGTAATCACTTACCTGATACAGGGTCACACAGAGTTTTCAGTCATTCCCAGGCAGTGTACTGCACAAAACAGGGGCCACTCTAGACACAGCGATATCAGTATATACTTGATGAAAACACACCATAATATCATAAATGGAGAACAAGAGCTTCACAACTTGTTTTATCCACTATTCAACTCATCGTCAACATGTCTCAGAACAGGACCCAGCAGGAAGGGAGGGAGTGACAACAGGATGGAAATTCGTGGCTAATGTTGGATTCTTTGCAGAATATACTTCTAGAACTGCTAATAGGACCAGGTAGGCCATAACTAGCATGATATTAAGGAAGCGAGTGCTGCGTTACAGCGAGGCGTGACCCCCAGCTGGTAACGGAGCCACGGGTATCAGTATCAGTCTATAGTCTACAGAAGTAACAGCACTAATGTACCACTGTGAGTGTGAACAAACAGGACACACAGAATATCACTGTATGGTGCTTATCACTTTATAAATATCAGAGATAAATGAAGCACATGCAATATACAGAATTAAGGCAAATCAATGATCATATTATGCATTAAAACAAAATATATGCAAAATAGACAAACCTATTTTTATGACATGATGACTATTTTGAGTACTGTAAAGCATAGATATCCAAAAAAAATCTCATTTACCTATTTAAAGATGGAGTGCATATGACTTGACTGTACAGAGAGCTCCATAGCAATCAGCTGTAATGAAATCATTACTAGTTCAGCAGAGAAGCTAAATAACTTATAAAGTCATACATAACTTATATCTGAGCCAGTATCTTCATTTTGGTGAGAGATAACATGACACCTCCAGCAGATGTGACTGAACTCAAAGCAGGTGACAGTTATTGTAACAGAATTACAGTAACCTAACTACAAAGCCAAATGAAGAGGAAACCATGTACTCTGTAAGAGAAACATCAACACGTTTGCATAAATATCTCTTTTGTGCAATATGGAAACAGGCAATGTAAATACCATTATAGGTGAGAAATAGTATCACAGTGTTAATTTAGAAATAAAAGCTGAGTGCATGAGGGTACGGCATTTTCTATACCCTATATATATATAGGTAATGGAGAGAAAATAAGTTTGACCCAGGTGTAAAGCTTACTCTTTCCAGAACAGAACAAATATATGTATTTTGAAGCATAATTTAAAATTCTACCTCATAACCTCATAACAATGTGAAAATACCTCAACAACTTTCAGTAAGGACACATTTCTGAGTCAGCCTCAGGAAGAGGTAATTAAGTCAAGGGGTTTCAGCGAAGAGAATTAAGAACAGACACAGCATTTCTGTTCGTTAAGAAGGTGTAGTTTGCTTTGTCACTGTTATGAGGAACAGAGTCATATTGAGGTAAAGAGATTTCTCACAATATGGCGTTTAACGTAAATTAGGAGCCTAATCATTCATCTCAGCATTTCATCACAGTCTGTTTTCCATGAGATCAACACAGATATTCGGAATAGGCCTCTTAAAAGGTAAAATTATTTTAAGCTAATCATTCATTCATTCATTCATTCCTTGATTCATTCATTCATTCATTTTCCATAGCCTAAAAAGCAAAGAAAGAGTATTATCTTCCTATGGCAGAAAGGAAGAAAAGAATATGGAAGATAGGGTAATCTAAGGTGAGAAAAGGTACAGGCAGAGATGGACATTTCAGGTTCAGAAAGTAAAAATCCAAACCAGGATTTTGTTTCAACCAACCAGTTGAGTACTCTGGGTCTGTTACTCTTTATGCTCAACTGGTTGGTTGAAACAAAATCCTGGTTTGGATTTTTACTTTCTGGTCCTGAAATGTCCACCTCTGGGTACAGGTGTGTAAACAGGAATATGAACATCAAACATCAACAGAGAGCCAGCAGATTCCAACAACTGAGCCATTGGCTTCAGGTTCTCCAAAGAAATCCTGGCTTTACACCGACACACATGCATAACAGGGAATAGACACATTCACAGATACATTTCTGACATATTTCTGCCAGACTAATATAGGACTGTTACATAACAAATAACATTCATAAAGACTGATCACCAAATCCGCCAACCATCGTAATACACAGGGCTTACTGACCGCTCATTGTCTAATTTTTGACAAATGTTTACATATTACCCAAGAAGCAAATTAGCAAATATATTTTGTTATATAAATATTAACATGTTAGTCATGTTAATAACATTTTTTACACTTACCAAACAACATTGATTAGATAAATGACATATAAGTCACATATAAGACATTGAGTGTGTTTGTAAGGCATTTTTATGAGAATGCAGCATAATTCCAGTGTGCCTTTCCAGTTAGAAATGGACACAAACAGATCTCTTGATTAACTCATCCAATACGCCCAGACTTACGGTGCAGTTCCTTCATGTAAACACTGAAACAGGAGTGCAGATGGATGAGGACATTTAGTGCAGTGTGTATGTGATATATGTGCAGGCAGAAGGCTTATAATATGTCTGTGTACCATCTGTGTAGTAAAGAGCATCACTGAGTGAGACACAGACCCCGGTATGCGGCACGCACATCGGCCACGCCCCCCCCCCCCCCAAATCCCTCGTGGGGCACCGCGGTGGACATGCGACGTGGGTGAGGGAGAGGCTATTTGATGCTTTTGAGCAGGGAGGTGCGGGCGTTCACCACAGCTTTGAAGGCATCCTCGCTCCCCGGCGCCACGCATTTGTCCGGGTGCAGCAGCACGGCCAGCTTCCTGTACGCCTTGTTCACTTCCTCCCTGAAAGGCAGACCCAGCCGGAGACTTTCAGGGTACCAACATATGGGATAGCAAGGCTACCTATCCCTGCCCAGCAACACAGCAGTCGTTCGATTGATTGCTCAATGGGAACATTGCCTTTTGCCTAAAAGGGTCAGATGGGAGTTTGCACTATTAGGCTAATTTTGTATCTTTGCGCCTTAAGCTGTATGAGGCAGGACCTACAGTCTTTTGCACTGAGATGATAGATGGAAGGAGGGCTGTACTAACTGCCTCTGTCTAGGTGCAGTCCGACACTGCAGCTTATGAATTTCTGCGGTTTCCTGATTGGCTAATGGGAGTCTTGCTTCCCAGGTGGTTCCAGCAGCCATAACCTATAAATAACATTTCCAAAATGGGGTCCCACAACAGAAGAATGTTCTCTCACCAGATGTTGTGGTTATCGGCAAGACAAAATGGATAACTTCCCATGACCAGGCTGAGCTACCAGCAGAAAATGCAAGATATCCATCAGTCTCAGCTCCCTTTAAGAGCACCCCGATTCATCCCGCCTCCTCCACAGCCATTGGCTGCTCCACCGGTACCCCGACCTCACCTGGTGGCCCCCGGTTTGACCCCCAGCATGTCCCAGCTGTCCTTGCTGCTGCGGATCCGGCGGATGGTGTCCGCCTGCTCACGTGTGAAGCTAGCGCTGAGGCCCGCGGCCGGCCGCCGGCCCCCATTCTCACACATGTCCGTGATGGAGGAGAAGAATGCCTGCAGAAGGGTGGAGGTGGGGTGGGGGTGCACACAAACAGGGCCTGCGTCCGGGGTCATGTGATGAACCCATTCATTCACCTGTGGCTCATGATCAATACAATAAAATCTGGTACTATTAAGAACACCCCGGCTCATCCCTCAGACCTTAATGGCCATTAGTACCCATAAATAACCCTTCCTATGACCTGATAGTGATACTCGTTTTTTTGTGATTTCCCTTGTTTTGGCTACTCTCTACCATTTTCTCCACCTCTGTACCAAAATAAATTCCCTGTTCCTTCCTCTCACCCCCACGTCACTTGATTGTTTAGCTCATGGGAGTTTTACTTAAACATGTTCTGAGGGCAGAATGAAAAATGATTGGTTCAGAGAGATAACCAATCAGATTACAGAGGAGGTGGGTCCAAGGATCTGCAGGATGTGGGACCAACCGATAAGATGTCTTGATCTCGCCTCCTCTAGCCACTTGGACCCACCTCCTCTACAATCTGATTCGTTATCTCTCTGAACCAATCATTTTTTGTTCTGCCCTCAGAACATTGTTGTGTGAGTAAGACTCCCATGAATGGTTGTTTACCACCCAACTCAGACCAACTCTTCCATATAGTAATGAACCACTTGATTTTACATCACAAAATATTAAATGAACTTCAAAGTTGTGAGGACGTCACCGCATTCTTGGCTTTTCCTTTCATAGGAGGGCTGCACTTGTGCTGCCTGCAGCTAGAAAACAGAAGTACTTAGCTGTCAGATCTCATAACCTGCCTTGCAAATCTGGGGAAACTTGGGTCACTATCTCCAAAATTTTTCCTTAACTCCCTCAGCTTAAACTGCAGATTCTGGTTCATCATTAGGGTCAATGGCTGTCAGTCCTCACATGCTACAGTGATCGCTGAGGAGCCTGAGGGCTACCAACAGGAAACAGGTCAAACAGAAAGGTCACATGGATGTCAGCCTTCCTTGGTAAGAAGATGCCGATGGTCGACTCGCCCACCTGGAACATCTCGCTGATGCCCTCTCCGCTCTGTGCTGATGTCTCAAAGTACTGAAAACCGCGACTCTCTGCCCAAAGTCGACCCTCACTCTCGTCCACCACTCGCCGCTTCGTCAGATCCACCTAAACATGACATGTACTGTAAGATTTGCCCCTAGATACGGTCATACTGCTAATTTTACTTTAAAATTGTTATTGTCCTGTCCTTTGTATTTATGTCATGCTTCTGTATATATTACAATCTCTTAACTTACTTTTAAAACACATTTGAAAAATAACGTGAAGAGCGAAATATAAATACAATTTTCAAGGAAAAGTTATTGTGAGCGTTTTTTAGAAGTATATCGAGCAGCTTTTAACGTATGAGAACTGAATGAATTTGAGTGCTTGATGGTGGATGTAGGACTGGCCCAGTCATCTGAAGAAAAGATTCTGGGAGGAAGTATGACCTTGTTGGCACACACAACGAAGACAATGCTCTCCATGTTGGTGTAGGAGCCCATCTCCTGTTTCATCTCCACCAGCCAGCTGTCCAGCGCATCAAAGCTCTCCTTCAGGCCCACGTCGTACACCAGGATCACCCCCTGAGAGTCTTTGTAAAACTCGTTTCTCACCTGGAGGAGGTACGACCCAGCAAGACCAACACAGTCACATTGTCTTGTTAAAAATACCCTCTTACTGGAAAGAATTCATACAGTAGCTCTCTGTTTCAATCCCTTAAACTTTTCCAGTGTGAAAGAACTTTTATTAATATATCAGCCTGAAGTGATTCAAGCAAGTACTATATGTGAATCACTTCCTGAGGTGAAAGTTTTCGAGATCTGGGTGACAGACAGTCTGTTTACCTCATAAAAGAATGGGTGTCCCGCCATATCAAAAATATTCACTTTCATCTCTCTCTCCCGCACTTGAACTCTGATCGATTTAAAAAAAAATAGGCACAAGGGATTCATAAAGAGTCATAACAAGTATAAATGGCAATTGAATTTGCTGCATAATAGCTAAAAATAAACACATTTGGAAACATTTAATATATTCATAATAAAATATTTGGTGGATGCAGTTACTTCTAAGGAGTCACTCATCCTTCATTTAAAATATATGTCATATTTAACATAATAAATCTTTCAAATACTGGTGGTATTACTGAAGATAGATTGTTCATTGTTCATTCTCTTTTGCATGGTCACTGTTGGAAGCTGATTGACTTAACAGTTCTGCATTAGTCTTAACGCAAGACGATCCTGAATCTCATACTGACTCAGAAACTTGACTCAACGAAACCTTTTGAGACATTTAAATAAAAAGTGTCATTATGCACCAAAAAAAATAGAAAATGACTTACTTTGTAACGCCATAGTCGATTCCGATAGTGGCCAGATATTTGGAGACAAACCTTTTTTCACAGTATCGTTTAATGATGCAGCTCTGCAAACAGATAAGACAATATCACAAACTGTATGAGCCAATATGACTGAATATTTCTTGACTAGCTGTAGAAAAAAACATTGAAAGCCACATATTAACAAAACAGAAAGCACTGTAGTTACTTAAAATAGCATGTCATTCAATTGTTGTATAAATATATTGGCATAAATTTGACAATGTTGTTTATAGAAGAGTGGTATTTTGTTTTATGGGTAACGGAGCTGGATACTGTGCTGCTTTATACAGAGGCACTGTTAACTGTATGTTAGGGTTAGCATAAGCCCTGCCAATGGCTGAGGTTGTAGGCTAATGATATCAAAATAATTTCAGATTAACGGCAGCGTGAATATTATGAGCATCCAGTAACTATCAGACAATTATTTATATTTAATCTGCATTAATTCTATAAATTTGCAGCAAGATAAAGCTTAATGTTATCACATGTTTCTATTTATGGTGTTTTTAGCCAAACAACATAATTCAATCCCATGACTGAAAAACCAAAGCTTGTACGGAAGACACATGGCAGGGGTGAAAAATCATAAGAATGAGCTGACGACATGGAAGTAGTGTATGTCATGGAGGGTCTCAGGGCGCCGCTGCTCAAAAATGTCAGAAAACCATCTTTAGTGAGAAGCCTGAAGTGGAAATAATATGCCAAGAAGACGCTTCGTTATGAAGCTTCGCCTGTCCTGCATGTACTGTATAGTCCGCAGACCACGTGACACTCGTTTTTGCAAATCGTAAGTGAATGCATGGCAATTCCTAACTGATTAGTAACCCTCGGTGATAAAATTTACTAAGACACGTATAAACAAAACAGCTGTCATCATTCTGCATTGCGGTGCAGATCCTAACAAACGGTACATTCTCGAACAAATAATTAAATAAAAAAAAAGAAACAAAAGCCGAAAACGAGAAAAGGGAAATTGTATATGTGTGTAACTACATATATAATAAATGTAAAAAAGCTAGGCTAGCTTTGTAGAACGTGACATGACAAAGAATAGCGTGAATAAGGAGACGGACATAGGCAACAATGTCACGCCATTGAGAACGACTAAATTAATTATGAACAAATGGAATGTGGGATGACTAATAATTACGGATCCCCCTTTATTTCTGTCCCACCGTGGCCACGCTGCACCTGGCCTGCACGGCTCCTCACCTTACCCACTTCTGCGTTTCCCAAGCTGATCACTTTCACTCGCAACGATTTCTTACTCTCACGCCTCTTCTGCAAATTTGTCTCCATGTCTCCACCTCTTTGGCTCTGTCGCAAGCTTGCTATACAAAATCAAACACACACGATGCCTATCTGCATCACAGTGATAAGCGCCGGCGGTGCTGTCCTGTTGCTTTGGTTAAGTGCATGCGTGGGAGGTTATAACTTCATATTTAGGTAAATGTTAACTAGCCTGCTTTCAGGATGTTGCGCAGGACATGTCTGTTTAATGCAGTTACCTTTTCCACGCAGCTACAGCAATTCCCCACGAATGACAGATAAGAATTAACTATTTGCATGCCGGGGATGGGGGGGGGGAGTTGGGGTACGGCTTAAGATTTATTTTCAGATATCTAGTTTCGCTTCTCTCATATAGTTATATAGTCATATAAAGTCGCAAATTGCTGGTAATTATGGAGTTTTATATATGGTCTTATAAATTGCTTCGTTGCAATCAATATTGGGGGTTTCCGGCTGGTTTCTTTCTTCCCTGGCTTTTCTGTCGGGTACCTGCAGCAGATTCACTATCTAAAAAAAATCAACGGATAAAAATAACATATAAATGGGCATGATGTTTGAACACTTAGTAGCCAGATGCTATAAAGGCTGAGAACATTTTAACACGCAGCCGACACTTGTCCATCAAACCGTTCGAGGGCTCATATAAACAGTATCCATGGTAACAGTAAACGCTTAGGTTCATTTTGAAAACCGGGCGCGTCAGTTTCATTAAAGATAAATACATATAAAATGGAAAGTAAAGTACATGTGCACATTTACAATCAATTTCCATCACCAAAATGCTACGCATACCGGTTATCCCGCCTGCATTGTAACTATATACAGTGGTACCTCGGTTCTCGAACTCACTACAACTCGAATTTCTTGAAAGTCGAACAAACCAGTTTGACATAGAACTCGATCTGAATATCAGAAGTCGAACCGTGAACGCTGACCTAATATAAATTGTACGCGCCAGGAAATGAGTCATACTACAATGAAATTCTTACTTGAATGACTTCTTCACAGACTGGACTATTAACCAAATAAAGCAGCGCAACATTACAGTAACTAACAATAAATAAACCACTAACTTACGTGTACTATTAGAGCATTTATGTCATTTATTTAATTTTTATTTTACCAGGTAAATTAACTGAAAACCAGTTCTCACTGCTTTACGTTTTATTCTGGAGAAATAGATTACGAATCGGAACTGCCTGGGATACAAACATCATGCGTGTAACTAAACTCTTCAGCCAATAAGGGAAAGGTGTGTTGTCACAGAGGCGGTTCCAGTTTGTGCAGCCGGGTGAGAGGTTGCAATGCATCGCGTCTGGATCAGAATGCGTTGCTTTAAGCCAGCGCTGTAAGCAAGTCAAACGCACCCAATGACCGGATTGGGGAAACAAACTGAAACGCGGACGTAATACAGAGGACTAATGACAACAACCAGAAACAACTGATCACATGGGGATCCCATACGAGGTTAACGAGGGGGCGTGGCACACGGAAGGAGCGGACAATCGGGGCAGGACAGGGGTAATGTTGGGATAAGATCTTTATCGTTTTGGAAGCCATTAAGAAAAAAATGCTGCTCTTGTTTTATCCTGTTCATTTTGTGTTTAAATGCTAAAAAAAACCAAAAAAACAAATTTAGGTGTAATTTTGGGGGGTCGATCAGAACTTTTTAGTATTCGATCCGGAGTCCGGAACGGATTAAGTTCGAGAACCGAGGTACCACTGTATCTGCTTTCCACCTTTGCGTATAAACTGACTGTAATACATGTAGCTATTGTCCACTGTGCAAAATACTTTTTTGGTGTTTTCATTTTTATCTGCATCGGCAACCCTTACAGTCTGCATTATTAGCATTACTGTCTGCGCCAGAAGCCGTAAACGTGCTGTTTTAACACTGAAATCAGGCAGGTAGGCTATTATAGTGGATATTTAAAATGATGACGCCTATAATAGACCTGTGGACTTTTTTTTTTTACTATTGAAATGCACGCAGGGAGTTAAAATAACCTAGTGAATGATATGTATATCTATTCTCTTTTTTAGTTCATTCCCCTCGCGTCCATCTGTTTTATGCGACCCTGGTTAGATGTTTAAAATACGATCATCGACTGCACGAAGGAGTCTTTTTAATTAATTTTTTTTCCACGTATGTTATTATACTCTTTGTCCTGTGCATTTTCGTGTAGTACCATCGCGCTTGATTTCTAATATTTTTAAAATATTATTTGCTATTTATTTTACGGAGCCCACCCGTCTGGCGTGCGGATGCGGCGTGGGAGACCGGTGCTTAGGGAAGGGCTGTGAGGAGTGAGGGCGACCGTTACTGCATGCTGTAGGCGTGTGGGGTAACGTTCACTGAGTGTCCCGCACGGTGCCAGTTAACAGGGAAGGTTGGCAACCCGGTCTGAACGGAGCATCGAGCCACTGAAGTAGGAGTCGCACTTTTGCATGTTAGTAAACCTGAAAAAAGTGAACAATGGACATTTTGTTACCGTGCGTTTTAGGCTGCACTTAATGTAGGCTACTGACTGTCATGCCAGGATCACTTGCTGTGATATTTATGACCGTCCTAGTCGGTCCTTATAAAATAAATTTCTAGTATTATACAGACTCATAACTTGCTGTTATATAGGAATACAGTTTTCAGAGTTGTGTCGCGCAGTTGCAGGACTTCTTAAACAGCTTGGAAAAGTAAACCCAACGTCCTGTGTACTGTAAGGTGGGAGAGAAAACGTGCCACACCTGCCTTTATTTTCGCGCGATCACTGAACATAGATGCATTTTTTGTATATCTTTTATGTGTCATTTTTGCACACCATTCACATTTTATAATACAAAAAATGGAATTATAAAATAGCGGATAAAAAGAGGTGGGCAACGTTGAGTTGCTGGCATGATGACTTAATTACACCCAGACGCGGGATTGTTGTATTAAACGTTTCTTGAGTTTGGACTTTGTTGGTGGAAATTATTATGAAGTTTAGTTACCGTTACGTGTAGCCATGACTGCATCCGTTGTGTCCAAGTTATTTAGCTTGGTACTGTTATTTAAGTTTATTTAAATGTTTTGGATATACAAAAATCAGATGGCAGTGAGGGGTTCGTCGTAGGTGCTGCGTTTTACATGTTCGAGGCCCTTTTTTAAACGATTTAATTCTTTTCTATAGAACTGCGGGCACGGATCCGTATAGGCCCGCTGACATCCTGCGGTTTTCCTGCTGACAACAGCCCGAAACGAGAGCTCTGCTTCCGCCGCCGTCTGCCACGGAGGTGCCCGGCCTATATCACACACGACGACGCCTGCTGGCGAAGGCTGGCTATGACAGGTAGGCAGCCGGTTGCCGACCGGTGCAAATCAGAAAGGCCGCATCGATTCTTTTTTATCAATTACAATCACAAAATTGAAACAATGGTAATAAAACATTGACTCTTAAAACAACAAATATAATCAGTAACATCAAGAATAATAACGTTATCACCATCATTATTCCGCAACCCTGAATGTCATGATGTAGGATTATGAGTGTGGTAATTCGGTGGGGTTGTGATTTGTCACTATTCTTGGGGGAAAAAACTACAGGTTATGGTTCATTTCTGTGCCTAGTGCATTGCTTGGTGCTTCACAATGCAGAAATGGTAAGATTTTTTGCCCTTCACATTTCCTTAGCTCAGGTGTGGAGATGTTTGCTAGGAGAAACCTACCAGACCTCTACATTAGTGCAGCAAACACTGAGCGTCTAGTTTGTCAGACAGCGCGATGAAACTGGGAGCTGATGTGATAGAAACCTGAATTAGTCATTTAATCATTTTAAAAGATATGTGTGGTTGGCATGTTCCCTAACTGTATCTAGCACAGGACCGGGGGGAATGTAGTCTGTCTCCGGTTGCATTGGAAGGGTACCAGGGCTCCCAGTTGTACAGTCACTCAGTCAGGGTCCTTTCCAGTTGACATAGGGGAACAGATGAAATCCCTGTAGTTCACTTTGCGTCTTTGGTCTCCTGGTTGTGTTTAATGTAATTACCACCATAAATCTTTTCGATTTGCCGTGTCTTGCCTGATGATGTAGTTTGGACAGTTATAACTGCACAGCGGGGTGATTTTGCTGAGGCAAAGCAAACACAGACATGCTGCCGCTGTAATTAAATGGTGCTGTCACCTGCAACCGTAGTTCGGCGTAAAATATCCAGCTGTAAGCGTCGCTAGTGCCATCAGATAAAAGGAATTGGAAACAAAAAGAATGCAGAAATGAGGTTGTTGGAAACATGGTTTACATTTCATTTAACAGATGCTTTTCTCCAAAGTTATGTATATTTTTGAGGATGAAGGGTCAGCCAATTCCTGGAGCAATTGGAGGTTGATGGTCTTGCCCAAGGGTCAAATAGTGAAATTACTCTGATGACCCTGAGATTTGATGTGGTGACCTTTTGATCATAGGCACAGCATCATATCCTGCTGAGCCACACCCCCGTATTGATGTTATTGATAGATGGACTCACGTGTGATACAAGGTTGGTGGTGTGGCTCCCTTGAGGGACAAAGGACTTGGTGGCAGGCGTGTTGGTGAATCAGAAAAGGGTTTTATTTAACTAAATGAACAGGTACAATAAACAAACAGGCAACCAGGAAAGGCACAGGCAACAGGAAGGTTTGACGTCAGTGACTGGACTGGGGAACACAGGACTGGGAAGCACGTATATACTGGACTAATGAGGGAACTAAGGAGAGGCAGCTGGGAATGATTAACACATGGGTTAGGAACGAGGGGTAAGACAAATGAGTCACAGTTGTGTCTTATCAGGGTCACGCTAGGGAGGAGACAGGAAGGTCAGGTGGTCGTGATGGGCAGGATGTGACAGGTGGCCTTTTTTCGGTGTGTTGGGATAGTGACAGAGTGTGAGGTGGAGAAAGGGGTTTAGAAGAGATGAATGGATGCAGGTGGAATGTCTGTGTGCTCGTGTGTACTGCCTCCTCCCCATCCAAGGTGGGTCTTTTTTGTGGATTCATCTGCCTGGTTTTCCTGGCACAGCAAGCTGGGCCCTCAGCGGGGTTGTGGAATCAGATGTGGGTGGGGGGGGAGGAAGTGAGCAGCTTAGTAATGAGGAAGAGGCAGCCGGGCCCCGAACGGAGGCTGAGATCGCAGAGTGCCTGAATCCCAGTTTTCCACCAGCCTTTCGGCCCAGGGCACCCGCCCCCCCCTTCCTTTCGCCACAAGCTAGTGTGCTACAGGGGACCTAGTGTGTCAGTA